ACAGTCACGGTCTGATTTGACTGCGAGAGTGAGGGCCGCCTTAAAATGTCATCGGTAACTCGGTGCCTGGCAACCGAGCCACGGAACAGCTGCGACGAACCAGAAGTAAGCAGCGAACCCAAGATGTCCAGTAGTTGTTGTTCGATTAAGTGAGTGCTGGGCGGCGATCCTCCTGCTGGCCCGGGAGATGTGCTAGTGTTTTGAACAAGTGGGTGGTGACCAAAAAAATAAGGAAAAATGCTTATCTGTTTGTCCGGTTTCGTGATTCCCCCTCCGATCAGGTGAGGCCGTGTGTTTTATATATATATATATATATATATATATATATATATATATATATATATATATATATATATATATATATATATATATATATATATATATATATTATGTAAGTGTTTTATATATTTGTGTTTATTTTTATTGGTAAAGCGACAAAGTGTGGATATATTTCAGTATTTTTTGCGATTACCTTCCATACGGGAGTTTTTGTTTATCCTCTGAACGGCAAGAGGCAATAATGCGAAAGAGAGGAGTATTTATAAAAGATAAGAGCGCGTGAGAGGCAACACGTGACGAGGGCGGGCGGTGGCGTGCTCAGCTTTATTAAGAGCAGCAGAAGGCCTTACCGCCAGCTGACCTTTGTTCGCGCCTCCAGGTAATGCACCCGGTTGTCATAGCAACGCATACGTAATCTGTTTGATATGCATGTTAATTGAATTATTAGTTTGGAGAATTCGTAAAACGTTTGACATGGCATTTTGTGCGACGAATGATTGATCCCCGCACTAAATTATCAGGAGAGTATTTAAGGATCAAGCGAGGCCAAATGCCATTGATGTTGTGGGGAAAAAACGTTTTTTGGAAAGTGAAGTTAATTATCATCGTTGTAAGCATTAAAGCCGTTCTGTGACGCAGTTAATTGCCGCTTTCCCCGAGAGCTTATTTACCTAATTGAAATCACACTGACAGATGGCGTTGTCGCGAGTGATTATCTGGGATTACGAGTCTGATTTTGACATGTTTAATCAACACATGTTTTTAAACTCGGCCGGATAGGATAGAGAGGCGGGGAAGCTGTGCCACGGGTCAGCGGAAGTGTTAGTGAGGGTAAGTGGCGTGCCAGAGGGGGAGGGGGAGGGGAGCGGCACACGTGGCCCTCAGTGCCAGCGCCGCCGCCCGTTATCTCTTGGAGCACCGCAAGGAGGTGTCAAACCGCCACCCTCACAAAAGGCACGCGCGCATCACCTCATTACTCGCTTCTTCCACTTCACTCACCTCTTCCGCTTCCTCCACCTCTTTTCTTTCTCTCTTACCTTCTCCTTCTTAAAGTTTTGTTCGTTATTTGACTTCTGGGAAGAAGGTCAAGCGATGTGAGAAGCGCATGGCTTGAGGAGCGGGAAGTGGCATGTGCGGGCTACCGGAGATATTGTCCGCCGCCTTGACCTCGGGATGACCTGCGCGCCCATCACTCATCGTCAGCTGCGTGTAGCGTGTCACGTTTGACAGCTGACCCTCCCTCAGGTCACGTCGGGACACCCGCAATATACCATATATCCTACAATGCTTCCTGTGTTTCGTATGACACTTTTGTAACTTTATCTATTTCTTTGTTGTCTCTGTTGTGTTCTTTTCCTCCATTAATCCGTTTATTTCTTTCACTTGCAGTTCCCCGGTGAAGGTAGATCGTCCATATTGCGGTAAGGGGCCGCCGTCAAACCGGGGCGTGGGTCCGGGCATCACCAAGTCCTACAGCGTCGAGGGCGCGGCGCCCCCCGTCCCGCCCCACCATCTCCACCATGGGCCTCCTCACCACCACCATAATGGCAGCCTCGTCCGCCGACCTCAGGTAAGTCCAACTAATGAACATTTGTCAGTATGCCTGGCGACCGCTTATCGGTATTAATGTCAAGCCTTGATTTCAAGCTTATCTCTAGTTCGAATCTGATGCCCTTTGAAAATCTTCATGTGTACTCAGAGGAGCGCTCACCCACAGATGCCACAGGCAGTATCACAGTCGAGCGGCGTGGGCATGGGCGGGCGAAGGCAGGCGCCCCGAGGGGCGGCGGCAGATGACAGCAGCAACCGCGGCGGGCGGTGGCGAGGCAGCGGAGCGCCCGGCACCGGCCACGGATATGAACTCTCACAAGATCTTGCAGATATGCGCCTGGAGATGCTGGAACGCAGGTACGTATCGTTTCCCCTTTGTGACATTTACTGCTGGTTTACTACAGTCACTTGGGCTTGGTTGAGGTAAGAATATGCCTGCAATGCTTTATTAACCTCCGTTTTGCTCGCACAGGTATGGTGGCGAGGTAGCGCGACGGGCGGCGGTGACCATCCAGAGAGCCTACCGACACTATGCCATGTACAAAAAGTTCCGCTCCATCACTGCCACAGCCAAAGCACAGGAGAAGCGCCTCTCGCGGAGGTTCACTGTGGACGTGCCCGAGTGGAATGACACCTCCAATCAGCACTATCACGATGCGGAACACTTTATCCGCTCAGAGTTCGATCAGTTGCAGAGAAATCTGAGTGCCACAGGTGGGTCTTTGGCGCCTTTTGTAAAACAAGGGTAGTGTGTTTTGGCGTAGATTTTGGTTTCTTTGCAGTTTGTTCGTCCATGTAAAGTGTGCCTTTAAATAATAAGAATGTGTATTCGTGTACTAAGTGATTTCTACCGATAGTTTATGGCGAGGGGAGACGGCCCGCCCGGTCGCTGTCCCTGCGCGACACGCCAAGGACGACCACCCCGGCCACCTCCACGACGTCCACGCGAATACAGCAGGACAACCATGACCTTCACGACACGCTGGCGGCCATGAATGACAGTTCCCTTTACTGCCATGTGTCAGCTCACTCTCCTCTCACGCCGACCTCCACGCCCACCCCGGCGCCCACGCACGCGAGGAACGGCTCCGGCGACTACCAGCACCAGGGCGACGTCGCCTCATACGCCTCCTCCAGGGATATCAAGTACATCTCGTCGGACGAGGGTGGCTTCGTAAGTACTGATTTTTTGTGTAAGATTTTCTCTTATCCTGAAACTTCCCATGAATATCGCTTCAAAGATATCATTCAAATGCTACATTACGTGGGGTCATATATCATGTGCTAATGTGTAAGCGTATTTCTTCCTCCTCCAACAGGGAAGTCAGGACAGTGCAAACATGGCCCGTTTGACGGTGGTCAATCAGAGGCGAGGAGTTGGGCGTGGCAAGAAGATCCCGCCAGAGGTCCCCCGACGCTCGTCTTCCATCAAGTCCAGCGAGAGCAGTGGCAGTGTGGACAGGTCGGTTTCACAATTAAGTAGTATTGACATTTTATTATGATTGACATTTTGCTAGGGTGTTTAACCTACTTATTGCCATTACTGATATTACCATGGTTCATTTTGTAGTTGCTTTAGAGGCGTCGATGGTGTTTTCAGTATCTTTTGATATTTTAATGTGAAATAATGAATTTCGTACCAGGAAATATAATAGTTCATTCCTTTGCAGTGCTGCGGCGCTATCAACGGCCAACCACAGAGTACAGTGTCATCCACCATCTTTGACACCACCTTCATCTACTCCCTCGTCCCTCACATCAGAAGGAGGGCACAGTGACAGAGGCGCACTTAGAAGGTAAACAATCGTTATTTAAAACCATAATGTTATAACCGATTATTTTTGTGCATAAGTAACAAGGCGAGTATTTTTTCTTGTAGTGTGTATGTTTGATTGTATTTTTACAGAGCTAATCACTCCTTTTTTCACAGGTCTGCAGACAATGGCTCTCTGTCCAGCGTTCAGTCCTCAGGCTCGGACTCTTCACTGTCTCAATCCACGTCTGATCGCGCTACTCCCCTATCAACCCATGACCAAGTTGATAATTCAGACTACCATCCCACTTCCCCAATATGGAAGCGCAAGAATCAGGTAGAGAACTTAATTTCCAGCTTTTCTGCATTCTTAAAGTTGATTTTTGAATGGTTGCAACTCATCTATTGCATGATTCTCAGTTTTGTTTTCTCAGAATGAGGCCATAATGTACTGTACTTTCAAAGGGCTGTCTGTGAAATTTGCAACGTCAACAGAAGACATTCAGCTAGTCTATTTTTATAATGATATGATTTATTGTTTGATTCAGTTTTGCTTTCAGCTTTGATTTAAAGAGTAATGAATGAATCATCTCACATTTTTGTTTCAAGTTCTTTTTTTGCTACCGAGAAAATTGACTCAGCTCTCAATAGTGTTCTTAGTGAGTGATCTGTTTAACATCTGAGTTTTCATCTGAGGCTCCAGTAGCTGTAAGATGGACCATAAATGTGCTGCAGAACCAAAAAGAAAATGAGTTTCACAATTCCACCAGCAGATGAGCACAAGCGAGGTCATCTATGACGATAAGCGGTTGAGCAACATCAGCGAAAACTCAGAAGATTCCCTGCAGTCCCATTCCTCGGAAGGAATGACTTACTCTCAAACCATCCCCTCACAGATCCCACACTCTGCACGCTACGCTCATGCTCATTATACCCATACTCCTCACATGCCCAAGGTAGAGTAGACAACTCTTTTATTTAGTTCATATTCCATAAGGCCACAAGTACACAGTTTTAAGTTTGGTTTTTATTTCTTTTTCTTGTTTTTTTTTTCTTTTTTTACCTTTCAATCTTTTCCCAGCAGATGTTTGCCATGTGTCAATATTTATGTCACAGTAATTTTGTTTTCTGTCCACAGTAAGAAATTAAAGGAATTAAGCTGTAAATATCACATATTGCCTGTAAAATTAACAATCCTATAAACAAACAGGTGCCAGAAGTTGTTCGAAAGAGACAATATCGTGTTGGCCTGAATCTCTTCAACAAGAAACCAGAGAGAGGTGTGACCTACCTGATAGGACGAGGCTTCTTAGAAAATTCCCCTCAAGCTGTAGCCAAATTCTTATTAACAAGAAAAGGTTTAAGCAAGCAGATGATTGGAGAATATCTTGGCAATCTTCAGAACAGCTTTAACATGGCTGTACTTGAGTAAGTAAACCTTTTATTTGGTCTCATTTTAAGATTTTCTTTTTCCTGTATTTTGGAAATTTTCAATATGAGAAATAACCTTATAGACATAGATATTAATCAATATTGTTTCAATGATACAGGTGTTTTGCACAAGAGATCGACCTGTCAGGTATGCAGGTAGACGTGGCTCTGCGTAAGTTCCAGACACACTTCCGAATGCCAGGAGAAGCACAAAAGATTGAACGCCTCATGCAGGTGTTTGCTCAGCGGTATTGTCAGTGCAACAGAGACATTGTGGCAAAGCTAAGAGATCCTGAAACCATTTTTGTCTTAGCTTTTGCCATTATTATGCTTAACACAGATCTTCATACTGCATCCATGAAACAGGAAAAGAGAATGAAGATTGAGGATTTTATTAAGAATTTGAGAGGTAATTTTTTTTCTGAGCACATGTGCAAGTATAGAAATGGGCATTCTAACAGTAAAGACAATATATTTTGAGTAGTGTTTGACAAAATGTTATATTTTGCCTTTTTTTTGTTGTTGTTGTTACTCAAGAACTTATTTTTTACATTTTTCCATGTCTTTTAGGTTGCATAGATTTTGATGTACATCAACTAGCCAACATAATGGTATTTTTGATCATTTGCACATCTAATTATATTTTGTGATTGACAGGTATTGATGATGGGTATGACATTGAGCGTGAAATGTTGGAAGGAATGTATCAGCGCATCAAAGCCCAGGAGTTCAGACCTGGCCATGATCATGTCACCCAGGTTCTAAAGGTAAAAAGGCCCTACATAAATAAACTGTGATTTTATTTTAAATAATACACAAAATTCTGTGCTTAAAATGTTACTTTATCCACTGTGTATTAATGTAATCTTCCTATTCTACAGGTACAACAGACAATGGTAGGTAAGAAACCAAACTTGGCTCTACCTCACCGTCGCCTTGTTTGCTACTGCCGGCTTTATGAAATTCCTGACATCACCAAGAAGGAGAGAGTTGGAGTCCACCAGCGTGAAGTCTTCCTCTTCAACGATCTATTGGTTGTTACAAAGATTTTCTCCAAGAAGAAAAATTCTGTCACATACACCTTTAGGCAAAGCTATCCTCTTGCTGGTCTTGTGATATCCACAAAGGAGGTGCCACGTAAGTAGTGCTTTTCCTAGTAATGGGGTTAAAATTAGCTTGCGAGTATATACTCAGTGTTTATGTAACTATAAATTCTAATGTAGGTAATGATCAGGAGAATTAGTAAACCAAAAAATGATTTTTTCTCTCCAGATTATCCGTATCTGATGGAAGTTCGTCAAAGAGTTGATAACAAAGTCTTGATTATTTTCAATGCGCGGAATGAGCATGATCGCACCAAATTTTGTGAGGATCTGAAGGAGAGTGTATGTGAAATGGATGAGATGGAATCTTTAAGAATTGAGGGTGAGCTGGAGAAGCAAAAAGCTTCTTTGAGGGCGTCACGGCCCAACTCCACAACTGAGAACAGAGACTCTGGAGTTGCTGATATGGAGCTAATGACTACAAATGAGAAGAACGGAACATTGAAATCAGATTCCACTTTGAAGAGATCAGCTCTAAGTAACTCACTATTGGACATCCATGAGGCTGGTAAGTTACATCATGATTTATTTGCATGGAAGTCATATATATTTTATTTTGAAAATATGTACAGATTTACTAACTCAGACACTAATTATAATTACTGATTTGTAAATTTGCTATAAAAACTAATCCCTTAAAATTAATTAAGTAAATCTATCACAAGACCATTAGTTTTACATAAGTATACTGTACTTTGTTATAATTAGTGATAATAAAAATTGATGTCAAGTTTAAGTCATTAAAGTTCTGTAGATTATATTCTTACTAACTATAGTAAAAACTAGAGCTGTACCAAAATAGTATTATAGCAAGTTTAAAGTAGTTGAAAAGATGATACAAGTTAGTTCAGAAGTATTTCCTCACTTTAACATTTAAGCCAGTGTTGTATTTTAGAATGCTATTTTTGCACAGCTGAATGACCATTTATCATAAAACGCATGTGCAATATTTAATTTTTTTTCACATCACAAAATGAAAAAAACTATGAAAGCACATTATTTAATTGTTTATTTTTATAAATTGCACAAATGATTTCATTTTCATTAAAAGATGAATTTAACATATTGCTATGAAATAACCCAAGGCTAGAATGTATATCCTTTAGAAAATTGTTAAGTTCTAGTAAATTTAGTGTAAAAGTAGGATAACCTATAGATGGCATCTTTAATACAGAATTGAAGATGTTTAACACATTCACCAAGCACTTCCACAATAGTTCTATATATAGATATAAGGTATATTTTGCTCCCGATGCACATGTATTGCCCACCTCCCTTACCACAATTCAACCACCACTGCACTTACAGTAACTGGTGTACTGTAGTTCACCACAGTATAATTTGAAGTATCCACTACTGTAGATACTAGCACATTTTGAAGAGCTGCACTGCTTTTTATTGTATTCAGTATAATAGACTACTGGAGAGTACTGGACTTATTGCAGTAATTGTAGCATTTGTATTATTTACAGAGTAAAGCATAACTAAACTAAAATCTAATGTATCACAGTAGTAAAATTTGGAAATAAAGTATTCATAAATAGACATTAAAAAATAAGAATAAAATTTATGAAAGCCAGATTGCTTAATTTTTTGAAAATAAAATTTGATGATAATGACTTTATACAAAATGGTGTGCAGTGGTGTAAGTGGTGGTGTGGTTCACAGAAGGTGGTGGGCGGTCAGTGCGTCGGGGCAGCGTTGGCTCCCTCGACTCTGGCATGTCTGTGTCCTTCCAGTCCACTAGTGCCTCCAATGAAACGTCTCCTGCCAGTGGTCCTCAACAACCTGTGACCACCAGTGCCAGCCAGGGAGACCTACAACAGCAACAGCAACGGCGTTCTCTGACCTCAAATTCATCCTTCCTTGGTCAACTGTTCAGACCTCGTAGAACCTCACGTCCTGAGCTAAATATGTCAGGAGTGGAGGTGTGACAGTTACATGAGCAACCTCATTTTTCATCTTCCACATAGGCATAGATGATCATGGGCAAGTCAGGTTGTATCTAGCCATATTCTAGTCTTTCAAGTGTACACACATGCATTCCAAATGGATCAGTGAGGATGAAGAAGCCCAGACCATCTATTCTGTAACTTGTCCTGCGTACCTCATACTATGTATGTGTACAGAGGCATTGGTACTTATGTAATTTAGTAGCTGTTATAAGAAACTAAACAAATTATACAGTGCCATTTAGTCAGATGTAGTCACACGTATATAACCCTGTGTAAAATACATTGTATATAAGTCATGTTAAAATAATAATCTGTGTAATATATACCTAATCCCACACTTAAATAAGTAATTGAACTTGTCCCAGACTGAGGCATCTATGTCTCCAGGCATTTTAGCATAGCAACTGCTAGTCTAAAGATATCAGGATTTCAAAGGATATCCAGAATATAAGTTATAATTTTATTCAGTGTAATGTGTGCACAACAGTTAATGCAGATAGCAAGGTACAGTTTAGTTTAATTTAAACTGTATACTTCATTGTGGAAATTGACCTCTAGTCAGCACACTGATTCTGTCAGATGTTTGATGCTTCATAGGCAAATTGTTGGACTGGCTTGACCTTTTGCAATGTACCAGATTACTGATATTACCATAATAAAAACTCACATATAACATTATTGTACATATGGGATATATTGTTATCATTTTGCCAGCTTGATGTACAGGCTGTCTTTCTATGACAAATAAAGATTATGATGCAAAAATATAAACATGAATATTTATTACCCTCTGGAAGCAATTTACCAAATAAATATAAATAAAACACAATCCTTTCCATACTATATATATTTGTATAGTTATATTTACATTTTTCATTTCCTTCCTCCTCTTAGCAAGAATAATGCTAACTGCTCCTTTTCTTCAACTGGAAGACTGGTCAGGGTGTTACTCTGAACCATTTTTGCTTTCTTTGCTTCTTTGAGCTTCATGCGAGCTTTTCTTTTGCCACTGGAAGAATACAAAACACATTTATGAAAATCAATTATGGATGAATCAATCAAATAATTGAATTAAGATGAGATATGCATTTTAAAAAACTGAATATCTACATACATACCATATGTACCCACAAAGTAAATCTGATATTTAGTTTTATATTAGACTAATGAGAAGGAAAATATAATATAGTTTTCAATTAGACTAGTGAGAAGAGGATTATCAAAGTTTCTGAATTAAATGCTAACTTCCAGCAACTGTCAAAATATATGAACAGTATAATATACAGTAACTTTCTCCCTCAATATGGGATGGGGGGGGAAATCAATATATAACTACAGTAAAACCTGAGAAAACCGAACACCCATGGGACTGTAAAAAAATGTCCGGTTTGGAGAGGGTGGGCTTTTAACACAGGCCGCCTATTGAAATGGGAAGGGACAGTGATCCGGTTTTCTCAGGTTTTACTGTACATAACAAAAGGAGATTCACAATTAAATATGTACTGGAAATATTGCACAAGTCAATAAAATGTTCCCATAATCCAGCTTCACTCATTGGTAGTGGGTACGTGCACTGGTTGTTTTTTTAATTTTGTATACAAGTAGATGGCTCCACAAAGAGCTTTGTCACAAAAAGGTCAATTAGTAAGCCTACTAGACCAAATTTTTCTAATGCAATAATTATAATTACTGTTATCATCATCATTATTATTATTATTATTGGCATTATGATAATGCTATTAACCCATTGCCAATGGGCATGGCATGCCATTATAGTAATTATAATGTTTATAATAAAAGTAACACCATTAATATTCATAGCAGTAGTAAAAAATACATTTTCCCAACAATTAAAGGAAGGTGAAATCAGGTAAGGCACAGCAGAGCCATCTATGTGTAGAGGCATTTCACAAAAAAATATAAAAAATGAGCATAGCATTTTCCCCATTTTTTATTAATTTTCCCTGGCAGCAACGGGTTAATTTTTTTTTTTTTTCTAAGAGTTAAGGAAAAAGGGTAAACAAGTGAGATCATGTAGGCCTGTAAGTGACTCCTTGGCAGCTAAGCACTTCTGGAACCATCTTTGTAAACAAAATCAACAAAGAAAACCTGAGGTCTGTATACAAAATATTGACCAGCAAGTGAGGTTTCACTAGTAGTTTGCCCGCTTCTGATGTCACTTCTCAAGCGTGCCCAGACTGATCAGGCCCGCTCATCAGAACTTGCCTTTAGTTTTACTTGCATTATAAATCTATTTTTATATACATGTATGAATGTAAGTATAATTTTTTTTTTTTTTTTTTTAAGTAATAATAAAGGTACATGCAAAATAACAGGGGTGATGGACAAGATTCCCTGATAAAGAATAGATGAGAAAGAAATGAAAAAGAAACAAACTCACCTTATTTTGACTTTCTTTTCTGGTTCACTTTCTTCACTACTGCTATCATCTTCACTACTTTCAGCAGCACCACTCCCGTCATCACTTTCATCACTGCTCTTTTTAGAAGCCTCGTCGTCTGAATCTGAGTCTCTCTTTTTACGACTGTAAACCTTGTCAGGGTCAGGAAGGGAGTCGATGATATTCTGAGTCCCTTCATCAACATCACTCTCTTCGTCTCCTTCCTCCACCATATCTTCAACTTCAACTTTTTCTTCAGCATTTTTAGCCTTCTCTTTTCTTTTCTTAATTCTGAAAAACAAAAAGTTATGATAACAAGTAGGTGTCATGAGAAATATATGAACATATCTTCCCCCCCCCCCCCCCCCCAAGTCCAATGATATGCAAGACTAAATTTCTCTTAATGTAATGTAACTTACACAATTTTACCCTTGAATAATTTTTAATCACCACTGATTTTAAAATCGTAACTCCTTCCTCAAGAAGAAGAATAAAAGCCTCAACAGAAAAAAGTAGCATATTCCTCAAAAGAAACACACAAAAAAACTTACTCTTTCTGTTCCTTCTTTTTGCTTGCTTCAAGTTTTCTGTCGATCACATCTTCTTGCTTCATGATCTCTTGCAGTTGTGTAATATTGATTCCACTCTTTTGATCCTCTAGCTTCTGAGCAACCACTGATGTCTGTTGAAAATAACAACAATATATAAGTATATTTCTCTAGAGAAACTTAAAAGAGGAGTGATTTGGATTTTTTCTTTCTCTCTTAAACTCCATTTCTTTTTCTTTCACTAGAATAGTTACCACCTCAATGTACATAGAGGGAAGGCATAGGTAGTACAGGTTTCTAAGGCCATGTGTAATCAAGACAGTGTGATCTACGTATGGACAACTGGCTTATATGTTTTCATGCCACAGATGCACCGGGTCTGGTTTGTGGCTTTGATGCAGATTTATTTATTAAGGCCTTAGTACTATTGAAGATTGAAGCACTATAGACTATGATCAGAGTGAGATCATACAAATGTGATATACATATCCCTGTGAGCTCACCATTCTAGGGATGACATGACACACATGCCATTCAGAGGTAAAGGGTTAACCTTGCTAACAAAAGTAACAAGCATAAACACCCACAATAATATATCAGAAGTTTTCTGTTCATGCAATATCAATCAAAATACTCAACTTAATTCTACATAATGACTGAACTAGGACCAAACTTTTCTGTTGAATTCCACTGTCAGTCTCACACATAAATATTACTTAGTGACACATGCTAACTTACAAAGCTATCAACATCAATTTCAAACAGATATTAAGCATAAAAAAGTAAAGCCGCCTAATAATGATATATACAGATTGCCAAAGACGACAATAATTATGAAGTGAAAATACAATATTCATATTGTAAGGAAGTAATAGCATTACAAGAGGAATGTTGCAGGAGTACAGAGGCTGCAGAAAGAAGTATCTTTCAGCCTCCCTCTACTTTGTGATGAGATATATATATATATATATATATATATATATATATATATATATATATATATATATATATGTATCCTACATGTATCCACCAAATGGTATTGTAAGATCTTATCTCAACCAACAATATGGTGCAAACCTATCCTATCTCATCAGAGCTACAGTGGTTGACTACTTACAAAATGAATAATAACAAATATAAATGGAAGTGTCTCGTAACTTTTAAAATGAAATTCCACCATAACACTATGCTAATCAATTTTATAAGTGCATTATAAGAAGACTGAGTAGTAGCAAGCCATTTAAACTATATCATCTTTAATAAAAAATAACAAATAAATAAATAAATAAACAAATATAAAGTATAGCTCCAAAACATCAACTAATATTACCTGCTGTTTCTCGGGATTCTTCACCTCCGTGCCCTCTTCATCGAACACAATTTTGGTGTTGAGGACAATGTTCTTCTTCATTAGCTTCTTGACGACAGCTTGCTTGGTCAGTGGCTTTTTCTTAGAACTGACAACAAGAAGGTCTTCTG